AGACAAACAAACAAAAGAACAAGAGGTTTCAAACCCATGGCAGCCCAGTATTGAACACAGCCGGGGTTTTCTTTTTAGCTTCAGGCTCAGCAAGAACAACATGAGGAAAAAACAACAAGACAAGACACATGACATAATCTGCCTGGTTTGAAGACCATGGAAGAGGCAGATGGTGTGAGGACTTGCACTAAATAAATAATTTTCGATTAAATCATTCAACCCGACAGAGATACAAACACAACATTGATTTAACTGCATGCTGACATGTCACATGAAAATGAAAACTAGAATTACTGTCTTGCGGTTGTACGCCTCTATCAATCATGATGAATTATGGAGTAAAAAACATGTGTTGTGAGGTCAAAGTGATGAAGTTGACCTTTGACAAATTCTAATCCGTTCAAGTGAACATTTGTCCAAAATTTGAAGACTTGTGCTCATGAGAGAGGGATGGACGGACGGATGAACAGCCTGAAAAGATGCCTCCAGCTGTGTTAAGCATCAGTGCAAAGGCAGAACAACCCATCGGAGAGTAGGTAAGGAGGGGACAAGGGTGAACAGGAGGGACAGACAGGAAGTACCCTTTTGTGCGTCACACGCTTCATATTTCCTTCAGCGTTACAGTTTCAATCATACCGGGGCACTTTGTTGCCAGGAAACAATTACAATTGACGTGACAATGTGTCTCGTTTAACCAGATGCAGCAGGTCCTGCCCGTTTTAGCTGCCTCTAAAAAGAGCCTTGTGTTTCATCCAGCCAGGACAAACAGATGTTGAACACTGGCAGGCGAGTGTTGTTGACGAAGGAGCATGTTGATCCAATTGCTAATCAATATGTGCCAAACATGCAGTGCCCATTAAGGCAGGTAATGAAGAAACAAGCCTTGTGATTTATTGTAATGATACCCTGAGAGGGAGAGGAGAGGCAGAAAGAAACATTGCTGCTGCACAATTAAGGCACAGACTTGTGGGAAATGAACGGGCCGACGGAACAGCAGGTTTACCTCAGCTACCGGCTAAAACAATAAATGTAATAAATACATAAGTTCTGTATGTTTTTTGGAAGAAGTCAGGGACGAAATGCTGTTGGAAGACAACAGGATGAGACACATTGAAGAGTGTGAACAAGATGAAGTAAGATAAAGGAAAGCAGCAGAGAATAAAACTAAGGTGGCATCGAGGAGGGTCAGCTGATTAAAATGCAAACAGGAACAGATAAGAAAGGTGAGTTGTAGGTGTCGGTTGTTGTTGACATTCAGTTTAGCTCAATGAAATAGAATTTTTTTTCTGTCAATGCTACTGAACAGTAATGAATCAACAGAAGATCACTTCACCGGAAATAATCTGTGAGATATTCATATCAAATAACTGTTAGTCAGAGATGTGTTCATTTTTGTTGTTACGTTATTTCCATTGAAGCATGAAGCAGCTACACAATCTCAGTCTGCTCCCTAACATACAGAGAGACACACATGCGTCCGAGCGCACACTTGGCAGGAATAAACCAGTGCATGCATTGGTCTAAATGTGTCACTGTCAGAGCACAGGGGCGGGTGATTAATGGAACAGTGTCCACTGTGCTACAGCAAGCATCAGCACATCCCCACTGTGTTTACTGACCGAATGCACATCAACCACCTCACTATCTCCACTTATAGACATCACATTAGACCACCTTAGATAAAGAGCGACAACATGGTGTGAACTCGGAGTTGGGAAGGGGTGGGAGGACAGATTCAGTAAGGAAGAAAGAAGAGGAGAAAAGCATTGAGCAAAGCTCAAAATAGCACAAAGAGAAAACGCTGTGCGTCTATGCCCATCTGCCAGTCAGTGAGAGCGGCAGCACTGATTGGCTTGCTGGACGCCCGGCTGACTGGCTTTTTCCCACTGCCGTTCTGTTTTTCTGTCGCCTGCCTATGCAGTGTTCTGCAAGGCTGAACTCACTGAGGCAACCAGGAGCTCATAGCTCCACTGGGCTGAAGTTCCTCTCCAATCTCTCCGGACACCTGAAGGTTCTACCTCAGTGTGGAGCCAGAGAGAGAGAGACGGAGGAGAAAAGTTCCACACAAAGAGATGAATGAGAGAACAACACATGAAAGTGGGTCAGTGATAACGGAGGGAGAGTAGAGGGAGCACAACGGAGAATTTATAGATTTACACAACGTATATGCCTTGTAAATTTGCCATGACAGTGTTTTATGTGTTTTTAATGAAGGAGAGAGCAAATGAGCATGGGAGCAGTAAAGCCCTTCAGGGTATGGGGTGAAGAAGCCACAGATAACTATGCTTATTTGTATATCTTATTATTTATTTACAGTGGCAGAGACAAATGGCTGATAAAATGAGAGGATACATGCAATTAGTTCAATGTCCACTGCACATATAAGCCTAAAGAAAACAAAGTGACACAGAGAGAGATCCTCGGGACAAACACATACTAGAAAATGGAGCAGAGACTGATGGGAAAACGACACACTGCCGAGGCTGAACGAGCCAGGACTGGGGCAACATTATTTACGATCGCTTCTAAATAACAACAGATGCTGGGAGTGACTTGGAGGTAATAAGGCAATTCTTTTCATTTATTATTTAAAAAGTGTTTGACGATTGTAGTGATAGAAACTGTGACCAACAGCAAGTTTGACGTATCTGTAACTTACTACTAAGTTTATCAGAGTTTAATGAGGATAATCAGAATATGTTTACTAACTGGTGCCTTAGAAAAGTAATGTGTTGCTGGAATCCACAGTCTGTGCCTTTTTCACACATTTTTGCAATTTTTGGCATAATTTTCTCAATATTTCTTGATTTTATAGCAGTTTTCTTTTGGGCTGAATCCAATTGGATGAATATGCGATATTTTGAAACTGGAAAAAAGGCTTTGAAAGATTGAAACTCAATTTAAGTTTGCGTGATTGAAACTAAGTTTTGAAGCCTTGCATAATGTTTCCATGAGCTGAAATAAAATTCAAATCTCTGCAAACACTATTTTGCATTTGAATTTTTCCTTATTCAATATTTCAGCCGTCTTTTTTACTAAGTTTCTCCGACACATTTTCAGTTTCAAATGTCACTGTTCTACCAGTTCATCAGGTTTTAAACCTTGTTAATCTGTCTGAAAACTTGGTCCACGTACATAGAAAAAAAACACCTGTACTATCACAGTCTGTTATTTCAGAGTTGAGTTTACGACACCAATTTTGAGAGATTTGCCCAAACATTTGTAAGCTTGCAAAGCACATGGTTTTGGCAGCATCATACCGCAGCTATGATCTGAAACTGATGGTGTTAAAAAAAAGTCAGGATCCTGGAGGCAGACGTTTGCTCTGAACCAATTGATTGTTTCTGTTGAAGTACAGTCAAATCACAACCAAGTTTCAACCTTTCAAAATGTTTTTTCCACTATCAGAATAATTCATGATGTTTATCCCATAAGATACATGTGATTCCCATGTGAGAGCCGGTTTATGGACAGAAAAACAGCTCTTGATTAAAACTTTCTTCAGTATTTTAAAACTGATGTGATTCCACTTCCTGAAATGACATATTGATTGGACCTGGCCTTGGCTAAAAGTGAGATATCCTTACCTTGAGAGGTTTGGGTGCATATATATTTCTTGATCAAGGCATCTGTAGGTTGAGTGTAAAGGCTGAGAGCATATTTGAGGGACTTCATGTCGGGGCTCTTTTCAAGGAAAGTTTTCTTCAACCCGTTTCCTCCAGCATGGAAATATTGCTGCAAAAAATAACATAAAGACAGTGAAAGAGGGAAGCTCATATTTATATTTAACCAAAGATAAATGGAAACTTTGAAATAACTCAGGGATGTGATGGTAACGTCTTTTGAGTTCAAACACGACAGCTGAGAAATAGCCGAGGATTATATGGACACTAGTGTTCTACGAGGAGGAGCCAACACACACACAGAGACCAGCAGAAGTACCAACGTGAGGAGGAATGTAGGAACCTAATGAGTAAAACCTTCATGTATTTTCTTTTTTGTTTAAAATGTTTTCTGCCGCTCTCCTATATAACACATGATCATTACAGCGACAAAGCAGCTTATCCTTAGAGACACTGGAAAATAAATGACTAAATACGCATGCCAATAAATAAATAAAGGTAATACAAAACACAGTACAGATAGGGTCAACATATTATCTTCATCAGATGTGGGACGATGCCTGTTAGTAAATATATTTTGACCGGTGTCAGGTCAATACTTTCCAGTGACTCGACACAGTCGTAGGCACAGTTTTCAGCCTCACCACTGACTCGTGAGTCACAGAGTTTGACTGACACGTGCCTTTCATGAACTCAACATAATCTGACATGCAGGGGGGGGGGGTTATTCATGCATTTATGTTTGTATCACATATAAGCATGGAAACCAAAGTGGGAAACCATGGAAACCAAAGCGGAGCTGAGTAATGATGAAGCTGTATCTAATTGTAAAATAATAACAAACTTTATACTGGATTTGTTAAAATGGCATAAAAGAAGTGGCACATTTTTCTTCTTCCTGTTTAGCGCTTCGTGTAAATAAATGACACATTTTTTTCAAGAAATTTAAGATATTATCAAGAATATCTGCTGTGATTGTCATGGCTTCTATCTTATAATTTCACGAATCTCGCGCATTTTGGACACGCGATATGTTCAATATTAATACACCAGGTGAGCGGGTGCTCTGAAGCAGCGGAACCTTTACAGATTCAGAAAGAAAAATCATCCAGCGTCACCACAGGACAAGCAAACAGCCCATTCCAAACAGACATGCTCAGAATGGGCACTGCCCTGGTCATGATCAATATAAGAATGTGTATTGGTCAAGAAAGTGCTGCCTCATTTTTGAAATATGCCCATAATATTGCCACTGGGCTGCATTTCTGCACTTCCTCTGACAAAACAACCCGACAGAGACATCTAGCATGCTCAAAATATCACCCTGCCTCTGGCAAAATTACCTGCCGGAATAACATCCTTCCTCCATTTCCTCTTCTTGTCTTATTCCTCTTTCCTTAGTTATTTTCAGTTCGTTCTTTCTTATATTCTTAATTTCTTTATTTCCCTGCACTTTCATTTGAGTCTTATCTTCTCCTCTGTCCTCACAGATTTCCAGGGGTGTGCATTTAGTCACGAACCATTGAGAAGCTGCGCTCCTCTCTTGACTGCCGCTTCTGACACACGTATGTGAAAAGGCAGGCGAACCCATATATTATCTATTTATGTTCTAGCAATTTAGTGAGGAAGATGAAATAGCTGCCTTCCTCCAACATTCACTCCCAGGTCAGAGTTCAGAGAAAGCAACAAATGGTGCATTATTGTGTATCTATTAAATGAACTCCTCTGTGGGCCAGTGCATTTAGCCATTATCCCAGCCATTAGTTTGCACAGGTTCAAAGTTCATGTCTATTTTCAGTGGGATAATCACTAAATGCACTCAGGCTCAATATCAAAGCAGAAACACATCATTTGACTTTACTTATTAGTCCAAGTAAAAATGGATAATGTCGTGAATACACCATTATTGGTAGTCATAGCCTGTATATCAAAGTTGTCACAATACCAACATCTGTACTTGATAATACATCTGCCTTAATATTGCAATACCAATACTGCAGCTCAACGATGGGCCTGTTGCCATTAATTGTTCATTTAAAATCTACTTTGACTAAATAGATGTGTTCAGTTAACCATCCTATTGGAGTTTTCGCAGAATTTTGTGACATCAACATACAACATTTACCAACTGCTTGACGACTCATGGCCTGGGGGGTAAACAAGATGGAAAAATAAAAAGGAGTTGTAGCGTTTGCAAAATTTGAAAGAAAACACCCAACATAGAGTTCCATCATACATTTAACAATTTCAGGTTTAGGATTTGAAACTGGCGGAATGACGTTGGACGTAATGATGCAGTGGATGAAAGGACGTGTGTGATAATGCTCTGTGATATGTTCAATGTAATATTCTGGACTATTCTATCAGTAACTCATATTAACTCCATAAACAAAATAATGTGTTATTCTGAATTAGGTCAAAAGTAAGAATATTGGTGTCTGTGTGAACAAAGTCATTGTCACTCAAAGTATCAGTACAAAAAAATGGGGTAAGGTAACATTTTGAACGACAGGATATTGCAATACCTTTTGTAGTACACACATACACGTCTGCACATTTGGTTTATTCTCAAAGCATTACCATTTAGTCTCTTTAAAGCACAGATTTAAATATTGTGTGTGCAACATGATCAGCCAACTCTCCCGCGACATTACTCAACTGTTAATTGACTGTTCTCATTGGAATACTGATGAAATTCCAGCGACATGATTGATCTAAACCTGCAGGTAGTTTCCTTGGAGACAGCAGAATCAATTCGTTTTTCTGGGCTCTTTATGACGCAGGGTTCCCCCTGTGGCACATCAACGTAACTCTTCCCTTGTCCCTGTAGAACCGAGGCATGGTTCTCGAAATTGTCTCGTATCCCCTCACAATAAACAGTCGTATGGTTAACTGTGCTATATTTCACACTTCCTCTCTTGCCGAGAGGCGGTGGGCATCTTTCCATATTCTTGGGATAATAATTACACATTTCTCAGATTGGGCTAAGATGGCATGCTGTCATGTTTGCCTAAAACTATTATGGTATTTTCTTCTCTCTGGCTTATTGAAAGTTAATTTCTGAGGCATTTTCTGGTATCAACGTCATTATGTCTCATCACAGAACATGAAGGAGTCACCCAGAGTAATTTGCATCTGTGAGGGGACTGTGTAAGAATATTTCTTCAGTTCTAAGAATCAAACAATCATTCATAGTAGTATTTCTCTATTTCAGATATACTGTGTACCCCTGCCCCAGCACTCGAAATCGAAATATAAACATTACTATATATACATAAACATTATTCTCCCAATCTTTTACACACGCTTGGAAGCACTAATTTACAGTGGAGAGGAAAAAACAAAGGAGAGAGGCCAGTGACACTTCAGCCCATGATGCCTAAAGCACATGACATGAGCCACATAAAATCCAGCGTCCACATACATTTAACAGCTTCTTATAAGATACTCATTAAAATCAATTTGCATATCAGCTCTCTGCAGTGCCTTATGTAGCTCAGCTGTCCTTTATAAAAGGTCAAGTTTAGCCAGCCAGGTTTCTCTGGCTGCACAGCCAACAGAATAATCCACATAATACTCACCTTGATGGTAGGAAGCACAAGGTCCATGGCTGCACACTGGCGTGGAGTGAGACTTCTGGCTTCCTCTCGAATTACATGCTCCTGGAGGAACAACAGATCAAGTCAAACAGTCTGCAAAAGGCAAAACAGCAATACAAATCCCATTTACACGCTGAATTTCAAGATGTTGATTTAGCGTAACGGCTATGACCTTAGATGAACCATGATACTTGAGATATAGCATTTACAGTTTACAAAAAAAAAAAGACAATAGCAGTCATTTTAACTGCAGTGTTTGTTAAATTCAAGGCTTTATTTAACATGATTATTTTTTCTGCCCAGTCTAATTGGAATCTTTCTGATTCTTGAATTTATTATAGTAAATAACTTTCCCAGGTTATAGACAAAATGATCTTAATGTCAATGAAAAGGGGCTTTGAAGAAACTACATCACTGATGCAAACTCAGATACAATATCCTGACATCAGGATTTATGTAACTGCACGTGTCTAAACCTTTACATGAGTGTGGTGTTGGCTGCTAACCTTCAATCAACACACCCACAAAGACAGAGGCTGGTACAATGTGCACTTCTGAAACAATATTCAATCCTCTCTTTTGTGTTCAAAATTAATTTGGTAGATATTTAATTAACCACCAGTTCTATATTGATCTTGTGAGATTTAGGAAGAAAAAAAAAACATGTAACATTGTGTTTGGAAGCAAAACACACTCTACACCTTCTTGATGTGATCCAGGAGTCGCCCAAATGTGTGAATACAAGTTCATGGTGAGCTCCAAAATCACTTTAGGCTGCAGGCGAATACTCTTCTAATGAAAGCCCTATGATACAGATGTATGTATATTTTTTACAGATTAAAAAAACAACCTTTTTTTCTTGATTTCTGGAATTATTTCAGTGAAATCTTACAATTCATAACAGATTATAAGCAGTTAAAGAAAACTAGGTCATAATATGGTAATTGGCATTTTCATGACGTCATTGCATTACATTTGCATTCTGCTTGATGTCAGCCAGTTTCAGCCCTTTATCTGTTCCTGCTTCTCTCCCACTGTCTGTGCTCACGTATGCAGTATTATACTTCAACTAGATTCCCATTACAGTTGTTCTCATTCACAGATTTTTCTGTTTCTGCTGTCAGACAACTGAACAGTTCTGAGATAGTGAATGAAATGTGGCCCATTAAGATGACATGTTAACCAGCACTTAACATTAACAAGACATTTCCAAGCTGCTGCTCTGCACAGATTTAATCCTGCAACATCGCCTGACAAAATCACCATGTACGGAAGTTACAGACAAAGGCTGTGCTGTGATTTCAGCCATAGTCACATGACAAATGATCACTCAGAGAGAAAGTTCGAAGCTCATTCAGGTCTAGATGAATGAGAGGCGTTGGGGGGTGAGCCTGCGGAGGGAAGGCCTGCTCTTGATTGGACTGGCCCAAATGTTACAATCCAGCCAAACACTACACATCCTCCTTTACATATTTCCTTGGATGGATAAGTGGCTCAATACAGATTCATTTGTTAGAGACCAACAGCCCGATAATGTCTCTGCTTGTTCAATGACTTCATGCCATTACATCGGTCAAAGGTCACAGCACTTTAATAAGGATTTGACAAGTATTCCTTTTGCACGATAGCCACTGTGGTTAATGAGGTTACAACCATTTATTTATATTGTTTTATAATAAATTAATGAAAAAACAGTGTGACTAATTAGAGCCAAACAACACAACAAGTAACACAATTAATTTCACAGTATACACATGCTCAAGTTATTTAGGTGTGCTGAGGATTATCCGTCATGATCAAGAGAAACGACAGAATGATAAACCACTTCAATGCTTAAGGAGACACACCCATCTGTGCACTGATGTATACCATCCAGATGTTGCCTCAAAGGACATCCTGCACAAAACACAAATACGACTATAAATAGACCAAAGTTCAGTTTGCAACCCCCAGTGGTTCAGAGTTAAAATACCTCTGTGAGGTGCAGACGTGCAGCGGCTGTGAGCAAAACCAGTGTAACCACTGATCCAGTCCAACTCCTCAGAGCTCGGGGGATTAAACATCCTCTGGTCACATCAGTAATTAGACACCAGCCTGGCTGTGTTGCACTAAGCTGCACTGTAATGCCAAAGCCTACAGTGGCTTACATGACCATGTTTTAAAATAAAATCCTCATATATTTTCCTTTTTAAGATGATAATGTGGATTAATAGGTTCGTAGTGTGTTTGTATTTAACCTGTGCATGTCTCTATTATCTGTAGTGATTCTGATATACACGACATCATGATGTCAACTCGGCCAAGCAGTGGATAATCACTTTGAATTCAGACATGTGGTGTAGGCTTTGTGTGGAGACGTACTGTCTGCAACAATCTCCTCAGACTCGTCGGAAAATTACCTTCAGTTTTGACAACTGGCCCAAGTCCTTGGCAGCACTGAAGATCATCTGAGCCCCTTGCTGTTGGAGAAACAGACATTTTGGGAGTTATAACGGAATAAAAAAAGAAAATGAATATGAGAAACTAAGGAACAGGATGCAGGTGGCAGCCATAAAGTCATTTCTATGATTTCATCTTTTCCAGGTGCACCAAGGTTTATGAAAACAACAGCGTGACATGATGGAATTAAAGGTCCACGTGTGAAGACTTAGAGATGTTGTGTTGTTTCATCTACTGAACAGTAATTTGTGTGTTATGAGGGAACAGGAGAGAGCTGGACAGATGGAGGAAATGAGAGAGAAAGGAAAAGAGAGAGACAGGTGGAAGAGAGGAGGGGGGTGGAAGGAATAGTCCAACAGATGAAACAGCAACAGAGGAAAAGGGACAAAAAATGTATCAAACTCACACTCTGGTCACTCAGCGGAGGAAGAACAATGGTTCTCTCGATGGTGTTCAGCACGATTTTCCACAGCTCTTTGAGGACTCGTTTCAGCACTGTCTTCTCACAAATCTTGGCAAATAACATCAGACTGCAAAGCAGCAAAAGAGAGGCCATTTGTCAGGTCAACACTCAGCAAGCACACGTCTCAAACTGAACCAACATGGCTGAGGGAAGTGATTACAAATCATAAATAGTAAAGAAAAAAACACCTGCGTTTCATAGAATGAAAGAAGCAGCTTTAAAAGCTTTAATCTTGAGCTATTGTGAGAGTAAGGACTGAGAAACCGGGGGAAGGATTTGGTATTTCCATTATTAAGAGGATTCTCTGTAATACTCCATTGGCCTTAATGTTGTTTTGACAAATAGTCGAGAGCGATTCTCAGAGCTCTGCTGAACCATATCATCACTATTGTTCTTTCAAGAATGCCACAAAAGTAAATACAGAACCAGGGCTAAAATAAAAGACATTAACAGACAAGGGAGACCTCCTTTATTCAAAAAATCGTATTTGTTCTAATAGATGATGACCTCAGCCTTCACAGTGTCTGAGGATTAAACATCATTGATGAAGTGATCAACAGTGAGCAGGGAGTCAATGCGTTTTCATCCTACGCATATGTCAACAAGGCTGCGTTCAAACAGCATCGCATGAATAAGAGTCAGTCTCCTCTTCATTTAAATAGAATCCCTGTGTTGACACGGCAACAGCAGGGGTGCAGACACACACATCTCCAGCAAAACAAACAAAAAAAGAATACAGTGTAATCTAGCAATAGAGTTGAACCTGGCTCCTGCATTGGTCGATCAAATAAGTAGAGTCTTGGTATAATATGAAAACTGTATTTCTACTGTTCGACTATTATTTAACTCACAGATACCTGACTTAATAGAAACACAATGCAGCTGCTTGGATTGTTTGGACACGGCACTTTTTTGATCTAAAAACCCATAAAGACTTTCTGCTGAGCTATACCTTGGAAATAATTGTTCTTTTTCCTGAACAGTGCACGGAGGCTTCTGCTGTCTTCATAAACTTGCAGATCTATAAAAATCCTCATAAAAATGTATAAACTGGTACTTGAGTTTTACGCATGTGTGGTACTTGTGTTTCAAGAGGACAGGACATACAGTGGAGTGGGTAGAGGCCTCAGTTATTAGTTCAGTTATTAATAAAAGCAACATGTTTGCGTTAATAATGAGAAACTCAGACTTTGACCTTTCAGATGATTCATACATGATCAGGACGAAACTGTCAAACTTGAAAGCAATGAAAAGTAAATGCTAAACATGTGTTCGATGGAGAGGGTCGCACTTATTAGACAACACCATCTTATGTGTCACATGTTGAACAATAGACACCCACTTTTTATCCAGAAGGTCCATAAGAGGTCGGAGGACTGTCTCTGCATCCATGGCAGCGTTGCTCCCTTTAGCTGAACCCTTCATCTGCACCAGCTCCTGGTTCATCTGCTTCACACAGTCCTCGATCACAGGTTTGAAACTGGGTGAAGGAAAACAACATCACACATTATCATTTTTGAGGAGGTGCAAGCATCACTCCTGCTGGTCCTATTAGATAACTGAAAACGTGAGCAGGGGTGTCTTTTGTTTGAGCAGAAATGTTTAGCAACCTGCTGAGCTCTCTAAGAACTGTGCACAGTAAGTGCTCAAGTCAATTACAGCCTTTCTTTCAGTAACTAAGCAGTCTTGCGGTGCAATTTCTTTGACGGAATAAGAAATGAAGAGAGACGTTAACCTTAATGAAAATTATTTCATAGAGAAAAACACGGGCTCACCTGGAGCCGAACACTCCGCTGAGCTCATCCAGCACCGTGTTGAGTTTATTCTGCAGCTCCTTTAGCAGATCACTGGCCTCTGCGTCCAGCTGTCAGTGAAAGACAGGCAGTTACTACATCATTACACTCCATACATTAGCCCGCGCTGACTAGAGATCTGTATCGCTGTAGGATGCCTCAACTGGGGTTGGGGGTATTGGGCAGGAGGACGACAGGCACAGAGGAGAGTAACCTGTCTCGCTGGTGGCCTCCCACTCATTCTGCCTGCCATCTGTGTCGAGCAACGTGCTGAATACAAATGGCCGGCTCACCTCCGAACACAATGATGACTGCTTGTCGAGTCATGAGACACGGTGTCAGCAAAAGAGGCAAAAGGGAACATTTTTGTGCACTACTACACATGCTACAGCAGAAAGAGTATGTCAGCTAGTTACATCTCAGGGCATACACTTGTGGTCACATATATATGCATATATATGTATCAAGTCTTGTGTCAATGATCCAATGCTCAATCCTTTGATTGACTTTTTATTTACAGGAAAAAATTTCACAAATGTATTCACAGCATTTATGTGCCCATGCATGGTATGTGTTGGGATTCTGCAGTGCCATAAATATGCATGTGATGGATGTTTGGATATGTTCATGTTTGTGTTCATCTGTGATTTTGGGCATGATCTGAGAAAATACATGGGCGCATATTGGATATTTGTGCTGTGGGACCTTTGCATGTAGTTGTGCCAGTTCCTGCATATATGATCATATTTTGTTTGTCTCAGTGCTTATGATTTACATGTACAAATGTCCAAATATTGATGTTTTGGATGGAGGTGGAGATCACACGTCTCTGAGGCTCAGTGCCTAAGATGGATGTGTGAGGCCAGGCACCACATGCATGAGAGTTGGGCACATTAGTACCGATAAGCCATGGAGCTGTTCATCTCACACATTTTATGGCGGATGGCTCAGCTGGGAAGCGAATGTGTAGACTAAACCTTTTATGGACATTGTTATTCTGCAGACAAGCCTCCAACTGCAGCATGAAGGAGACACATTTATATAAGTGTGTGTATTTTTTGTTCACATGCGCACTTGCTTATACTGCTGTCACTTCAATGGAAGAGATTGCAGCATGCAAGTCACAGATAGAATTTGCTCATAAAGGTTAAAGATCTTATTTAGCTGTTTGAGTAATGGATAACATCTCTTTAAGTGATAGCAATAAATACTTCAGGCCATGGTCTTTTATCAGCCCCCCTGTCCGGGGGAAAGTTTTAGACTGAGCTCTGATCTACGGCCAGGCAGTTTCAGAAATTGAGATTCTCCGTTTTTTTCAGGAATGACTGTAAGTTAATGGAAAGGCTGGCAGAGGAAGTTCAACCTGCTCTCTGATAAACCACGGCACCTGTCACCTCCTGAGAGGAGAAAACTCTGCACTGACTTCGCGTGGTACCTGAGGCTTCAGTCAAATGTCTATGAAGACTGCAGTCCTGTCAGAGAGGCTTTTATTCAAATGTCGTTGCAGACATTTCAATGTCTGTCTCTACTCTAGTGCAGTCTGAATCGGAGATGCATCCTCTGAAATGTCAGGTTAAATGTATTTGAAGGTACTGTGATTAGATCCCATGTCTAATGTCTTTCACTCTTCATTTGCACTGTGAGAAAGTAATTTCAGTTGTCAAAAGGTGCACTTTATAATGCAAGATAAATTTAACACATTCATTGGAATCATTGATTGACGGCAGGTTTCATTATGGCGATCAAACTTTATGCAAAGAAACATTAATTCTAGAATCTATGCAGCGTCTGGCTTCACCATGGCAGCTTGTCTCACTGGAGACTGACCGGCCTCCAGAGTGTACAAACTCCCCCCTGGCTGACAGCCTATCAACTGTAGCTCAGCTTTGCTTTCCTTTCCCTGTTTCAACAATGCATCAATTCACTGGCAGAGCTGTTATTCCAAAAAATAGTTTGTTCTTCACAGTGCCAAGTAAATAAAGGTTTGACAAACTGTCCTCACTAAATGAATAAACGCATATTATCAAACAGGATGACACCCAAAATAAAGTCTGATATCACACCGGGGAGATCAGTCTGTGATGATTCCATAAATGTGGGCGCAGTGAGAGATTATTGCTAATCTCTGTTATTGGTAATGCTATGATAACAGCTCCTGGCAATTACACTGTCTGTCTGTGAGATCATTACTGATACGAAACTATTCTGTAATGAATAGGCTACTTTGCAAAGAGCGGAAACTAATGGACAACTTTCACCTGAAATACACTTTAGCTGCATCATTATCATTCAGGAGAAATGACTTAAGATAAAGCCTGATTGTCCATTAACTGTGAATATTCACACTTTTGGAGGCAATGTAAAGACTTGTGGTTCTTCAGACAATAATGGCCTGGGAGTGAGCCAGGTCTGGATCTGCTAACTGTGAGGAAATAGCCGAACCTCAGCAGAGACACACAGCTGGAGAGATTTGTAAGTGTTTGAGAAGCTCATTAAACACAGTCTGAAAAATCGTTTCTGAAGCATTTTATGGCTGCAGCCTGGGGAATGGATAGAGATGATCAAAACAACAGCCAGCAACCTGGCGAGCCTTTGCCTCCACTCTTTGTGTCAGGGACCAAAAAAAGGTTGTAACAACGAATTAAAGTAAATACCACACCTCTAAATCAGCCATGGATAGAGAAGTGGTGGACAGAAATAAAGCAGGCTAAATATATAGATGGAATCGGGCTGGTTGAGCCACTATTCCCAAGAGCGCTGGGGATGGTGAGCTTGAGCAGCCTGTCCAGGGGGGTGATGGGTAATTCAGATTCCGTATGCTCTGTGGCACATGCTGCTGGAGGGGGGGTGGGGTGAGAAGCGTAGGAGAGTGAGGGGTGGTGGAGAGGCAAAGGGGGGGAGGGGGCGTGCTTTTTTCGTATCATTCGGTAAATGGCGGGAAGGGGTGTTGACGAGTCCTATTGCACACACCTTACAGAAGGACACAACCCCCTCCTCCTGGAGACAGAGAGAGAGAGCACAGAAAGGAAATGGGGGGGAAGCAGAAGACACAACGACAGGAGACAAAACGCAAGGCAAGACAGGCATTAGATACTGGAAGAGAAACATGCATGTAAGTCATAAGAAGCCGTGGTGGCTGCTTCTCAGGTTAGACTGACAGACTTGACAGGTCAACAGGGAAAATATTCAATGGTGCTTCACACCCAACACAAAGAATCATAAAGGTAGAACTCAATATTTACGAAAATGTTAAGGCAACACACATTATACACAGGAGGAGTAGAGATGAAGGAAATAGTGATGGGAACACAGGATGGGGTCAGAAAGGTGATACCAACAAACTCAAATTCATGTCAGATTAGTTGTTTTATTAGTAAGTACATAACCGAGGGGTCAATTCACTTTCACTGAAGTTTCATCTGAAATCATCATCTAAAATGATCACTCGCAAAATAATGACACAGCATTTATTCCTCAGTGGAGAGCAGATCTGAGACTTAATTTGCATCACGCCTCCTGAAGGTTCCTTTAGCAGCACAGAGAATCCTTTAAAGCCCCTGGGATGCTTTCAAGCTAACTTTGTGGTTTGACCTTCCCGTGGACGGATGCACATCTTAGTAGCTAACATTATCATAATATTATAGGGCAAAAAGTTTGATTTTTATTTATACTTCTCTGTTTAGAAAACTCAGTTGAACTGAAAGTGCATTGCCTCAAACGTTGACACACACATAGCAGACTCATGCACATGCACATAGGTAGGCACAGACCTGTTTTCCTCCCATGGACTCAAACATCTTCTCCAGTTGGACACGGAGCTGCTGGATGTTGTTGAGGAGGATACAGGGCTGTAAAAGTAAAGCAAATAACATTACTCCATTATTGTGTAAAAATAACTGGTACTCTAAATTTCCCATTGGTGCTGTGCTGGAGCAGTTGTGGTCCTGAGCGAAAACACACTGTAACAACAGTAAACTCCATCAGCTCTGATTCCCTGACACTTCATCTATACAGAGATACAAGGCTTCATACGCAGCAGTCAGCAGGGAAATGCAAGACAAACTACAACAGGCAGAGAAATGTCTGCACTGAATACATCAGGCGTTATCGATTCTCAGCTCCACACAAAGTTTAACAGATGACAGACATTAATCACATGGCTCTTTATGGAGGCTGAGAGTGATCCTTCACAGTTTTCAGTCAGTCGCACATCATCTACATTATCAGCCCCAACAAAACAACATCTCACAAACATACAACACCCCAAAATTATGACAGCGGTAATGGATAGCACTAATCATAATTAAACACCCCACAGGAGAGTAAGCTAAAAGCAGATAATCATCCATAGTGCCTCTGTGGCAACACACGGTGATTTACAGGCACATCTGTATGAGGGTGATTAGATATTTAAAAATAAAAACAAATGGAGATTTTCCACAGCTTCATGCCCAGCTCTTGAACTCAAACCTCAAGATCAGAGGTTATCCACTTGGGGTCAATCCAGGTGGTCGCACAGGGTAATTTGTTAATTTATTACATTTTTGTGTAAAATATACTTTTACCTCAAGTAAAAATATCCAGTATCCTCGAGCGAACACAACAATCAAACTTTTGTAGTCAACGCTGATTAATTTTTATTTTAAAGTTGCACTGCAGTGTCCCCGACACACTGTGTATCTAGTGAACCCTAATTCAATAAACATGTCAAACCCCAAAAAACTTTAGCAATACATTTTTTTTAAACATTTTAATCCTGTATAGTTTGCATGCATGTTTACTAACATGCAGTATTCTTCTTCCATGTCTTTGTTAGCACATCTTGAGGTATTGATTTGTGCCATTTGTAGAAATTATTTAACCTGTGCACACACATTTTGTGTCTTTATAAGTGTGCATTAGAGTAGTACTCACAGAAAAAGTGGTCTGGAACATTTAAAGTGGTCATGAGTTAGAAGAGTTTGGAACTACTGCTCTAGCTCTTGTTCTGTACTTAAACCACTGCTCTCCTCTGTTTTTGCTTGAGTTTGTTGACGACATACATTCTTGGTAATAGATGGCAATGGCATGTGTCAGTTATTGTGTATGTGACAGTCTAACAAATTAAAGAAGGTTTAATATATTATAATCCTGCCACTGCTCATCTACTTTTGCCTCTCATTCCTTTTTTTCAGTTACCATCTTCAGTTCTGTCTTTGAAAGGAACATTTCACATTTTCTCTGGGACAACTGTACTGAGACTGTAAAAGAAACATCCGTGTTACTCAACTTTAAAGACCAATGCAGATAATTAGGCCGCTCACAAGGCTCTGCGTTTGGTCAGCCGTCACATTAAACAATTGACAGAGAACCCAAAAAATACCAATGGCTTTCCATTAACAGCTTGGAGCTCTAAAATGAGCAATATCAGCTCTAAGTTAAGAGTATTACTAAAAACAGGACAGGGCAGATAAGCCTGGGTTTCTATTTAAACATTTTCCACATGGTCTCCATGCCAACTGCTACCAACAGTTATCATGGAAACACCATCATCTGACTTACCACATCTGTATTTGAAACAATACAGCAACTTAGTTTTTAACATTTGCAGACTTTGAGTGGGCACTTACCACATTCTCCTTACTCAGATGTAATGGAAAGTCCTTGGATATGATTGCAGCATACTGCAGAAGTACTTTGTTGATAGTCTGTGGGGAGCGAGAGAGACAGTTTTATAATTACTGTTTTTCAGCTCTTCTTTAATTGAATGTCTGGAACTGAACTTGAAAAAGTTAAAGCAAAGGATTGAATTTATCAAATAGTCTTGTTAGATCAATGTCAAACTCTTAAAGTGGCAGTTATCACTCCCAGCAAGAGTATTCAGGGCTCAGTGGGGGGGCTTTTCCAAAGATGCTGACCTTTGCAAAGCGGCACATGAAGTGAGCCAGAGCCTGTGGGTTCGGACACTCCAACTTCTTGATAATCTCGAAACTCTGGTTTAGTTGAGTAAACACATCCACCACCGAACAAGAAAAGAGGGCGTGGTCTGAGGTTTGCTGAAACTGTGGAAAAAAGGAACAATATTAGAGATGGCGGATGTGAGGGTGAAGAGAAGGATGAAGGGTTGAGGAGAAAGACAGGAAAGAAAAGAAAGAAAGACGGATTTTGAGTCTCAGATCTCAAAACCTTTAAGCCCTTCATCATGGTGTAACTTTATTAAGTCATTTCATTTCACAGGTTCTGTAGCATGGTGATGTACTGAACCTTTTATAGTTAATGAGTGAATCCTTGATTTACACATTAACTGTTGAGGTGCACTAATAACATTTGAACAATTCTAACAATTATTCGTGTTTGACCCGAAAGGTTGTACTTTATCATAAATTTCATGTTTTCAAGCAAAAGTTTGAGCTTTTAACTTTTTGATATATTGTTTCTTTGAATATTGCTGCCTCTTTATGACTGACAACAGTAAATGAGACAATCGGGGAGAAAATTCGCTTTTTCTATAAACTATTCTCAATATCTGTGGTCAGGATGGATTTACTGCAGTCACGGTGGAAAAGCCTCTGCTTAGGCTAAAGGCTAACCTGGACAGAATGGCACCAACTCCAGATCTCTCATGGATGAGATCAGAATGAGAATTACGATGCATTACCTCATTGCTATGCATCCTGCACACAGCTGTGATGGTATGGTGTGATATTCCACGCAACTTTAATCTCCTATACTACACTACTTGTCTCAGGATGTTCCTTTTACCCACAAAAAGAGGAGGGAGGGAGTATGAAAGTATGTAGATACTCATTGCCATTGTTGAATCCAAAAACTTTTAGAAGATTGTCTTTACTGACAAATGGGATCATATTTTATGTATCTTTATTTATATATGACATGATTTTTTAACCCCCTTCACATGTTGCTCTTTGGTACGTGCACCCAGGAATCGCTCTCTCAGTTTGTATTTGGGGCGAGAGACAGAGGTCTGAGAAGAGGATGTAAACTGATGTAGTTGTTTCATTTTATATCATTACACTTTAAAGAATCTAAAGAGAGCTGTGGGGTCGTGGTGTTTTCTTTGTGTGTGCCCTGAACTCGCCTCATGTCTGTCACTTTTTCACAGAGGTTTTTGCGACAGGTGTCAGTGGAAACAGCACTGCTTTTGTCCACATTATTCTTGTCTTGTGATGTCACTGTGAGAGAAGTTTCCCCCCCCTCCATTTACTCTGGTAAATCCAGTCTCTGGAGGGAGTGACTAAGAGATCAGGCTTAAGTGGCTGTGTTGGTTAAATATAAAGCTACACATTGAGGAATAATTTAATGCTGTACTCACTCCATCTTTCTTGTCCCTCTCCAGGGCTCCGTTTAAGAAATCCATGGCGACATCCTCGTTCTCATCAAGCCACTGAATGACAAATGGCTCGAACCACCTAAAAAAGAAAAACCTTCTATCATCGAGGGGTCAAATCACATTTCATCTGTCCGCGGTACCACATCAGTGAACGTTTACTGCATGAGAACACTTCAGAGACCAGGGCCTTTTAGTTATTCAAAAATTATTGAGCAACTTTTGCATTTAAGGGAAATGTGATTTTTGCCAAGGCTGCACTTCTTGTGAGCATTGATATCAGGTTTCAGTTTGTGGACAGATTAGACTGCAAGGCGCAGACAGAGGACAGCAAAGGACAGACTGGGCTGGATGAGGCGGGTCAGGAAGTACATTTGTTAGTGGAATTGTAATGCTGTTCTGTTTGTTTCACTTTGCCATTTCTTTGTTTAATATAGTGCCTGAGCTTGTCCTCAGAGCAACGGATGTCCCCCAAAACTGCTTTGTACTTACGCTAAGGGCATCTGCTACAGGAGGGCAGGCCAATAAATCGGGTGGGTGTGGCGACAGAGAACGAGAGACAGTCTGTGTGTGTATGTGTGTGTGTGTGTGTG